GTACCCCATTATAAAAGAGTCCCCATTCTTGGGACACAAATAGAGCTTGCAATACCGGGATCCCGGACAATTTTTGTCCGGTATTAAACCGGTATTGATGGCAAAATACCGGTATTTCGGTATTATTTTTATTTAGCGCCCTCGATGGCCAGGGGCGGCCGATGTCTTCGAAAATGGCCGTGCTAGTTTGAAGTTGTGCTGGAAAATGACGTAGAAAATTCTTGTTTGTTATGTGACATTTTAATGTATTTTTTATGTGACATTTTTTGACGTTTCATTAAAAAAATGCTAGCTGTAGGCGACCGATCGAAAACGGCCGTGCTTGTTTAAAGCTGTGCCGGAAATGATGTTAACCAAACAGAAATTTGTTATCTATTTTATGTCCGTACTAACCTAATTTTTCAAGTGACATTTTTTGATCAGTGTGAATACCATTTACAAGAAATATCATTTTGCACTCTGACAGAATGTTGAAGATAACGAAGACTAAACCTTTGATGACGACAACTTAACGTTCGTGTTCAATAAATTTGTCATACCTAACCAACAATACAATACTCTCTGCATACAACTATTTTTGGAGTTTTTACTCCATAATGGTGTTTCAGGTCAGTTTGATTCGTGTAGTGTCCCACCAAGTATAACAGTAGTATGATAAGTCTGACAAACTACCAAGAGCCATTATTTAAAGTTTCTTTCTTGAATCTGCCCCTTTTCAGAAAATTCCAAAGCAGGAATTCTAAAGAATTCCACAAAGCTTCAGATGATGAAGTGTAATTTCATTTTTTGACGAGGCAGTGAAGTTGAACCTTTGGACCAAGTGAAAGACAACAAAACAATAATGGTATCCAGACCTTTAAGTTTATTGCTACTTTGTACAGATTCCTAATATCTTTATATTTTTTGATTATCTTCTCAGATTCTGTATCTTATGGTTTGTTGCCAATCTAAATAGTAATCTAAATATATAGTAGGAATTAAGGGAAAAAAATCTTACAGTTAGATATAATCTAGTAATTTAGTGAGTAAACTTTTTAATAGTAATACCGGCATCCCGGTTTTCAAAATTTTGAATACCGAATACCGGTATTGAGATTTTGGTCCGGTATTGCAAGCCCTAGACACAAAGGCTTAAACGATCTTGATTATATTTTTTCTTCTCGACTCAATTCTCCATTGTGAGTCTAAATAAGCACCCTACTTTTGACATGCCTTGGTTAACGCCTTGGTAACAAGTCTCGTCTTGGTTAACAAATTATAAGACTTTGGGAAAAAAATATAATTGTTATTATTTAACAATATCTCATTTGTAAAACTTCAAGCGAGAAGGCCTCTCGCTTGAAACAACTACAAAATGTTAACTCGGCAGACTTTGAAGACGTCAGACGCCTGTAAGTATCATTTGGTGATACTGATTCATCCACAACTGCGAGTAGAGATCCAATTCAAGGTTCTCAATGTCCTAGCGATTGCCGGGGGTGGGAGGATTTCTCCGAAAACGGCCTTGTTAGTTTTGCGTAACAATCAAAATACAAAGCTGTGCTAGAAAATGATGTTAAGGATTTCTATTTGTTATCTATCTAAAATGATCAATTCTATATATTTCGTCCTCTCTCATCATCGCTGTTAAAACTTATTTCTAGGCACTCTACAATACAAAAACTTAACAAAAACTCAAATTATCTCTGCGTATCCAATGCTATTAATATTTCGTAATTTGTCTTTAGTATTCAACCTTGAATTGTATTGGGATTCAGCTAGATGTGATCATTTACTGAAATAACCAATAACTAGTTTACTTCTTTAGAAAAAAATTGGTGCACATCGAAATCTAATTTTAATATTTTTAATTTTTTAGATTTGGCCAAACGGATGTGGCGACGATTATCCCAGCGAAGTTAGTACCTGCTATCTAGAACAAAAAGATGTAACGTACCCATACGAATGTCCCTACAGAGACGTCAAACCATTAAATGAATATAGCAAGCTTATTGGTAATCTAATCACCACTCCAGAAAAGAAAATCTGGGCAAACCTTCACGCTCATCCAATTTACGACTACTATCAATGGGCCGAAATCGGAGACGATTATGGAAAATTATTTTCTGGACTTTCAGCTAATGATGGTGAATGTATAGTTTTAACAGGAGAAAACACATTTGATACAGCAAAGTGCGACGATAAAAATACAGCAATATGTGCTTACCCCGTAAGTAGAAACGTTCAAAATTATTGCGAACAATACAATGAGATTTGCCGAACGACAAGTGATTGTCATTGTCTAGCAAAAAAAGGTCTTTATTGTGAGACATCCTGCAACGGGAAAGAAAGCACATCAGGATGTTCATCTTGCGAAGAAAAATTTGAAAAGTACCCGAATCCGACTATAAATTTAGAATTAAACGAGAAAACAATAATGGTTACGGTTCAAAATATTTTAAAATTATATTTTATAACCGAAAGCAACGTTATTTATTGTTACACAGACGTTTTTGAACCTTCAGAGACATTAATAAAATTAAGATACAAAGACTCGGAACTAAAAAATTCAAAAATTTCTGGAGATGTGGCTACTTACCAATTTCAAATTAAAAGTAATTTAGGTCCTGGTCAATATTGGTGTGAAGGATTTTTGTACCCAGAAATGAATACTATAACTAGCAATAAAATAATAGCAGGAGATGGTGATTACCAGTTTAACTTCGTCTTAAACGTCACGATAAATACTTTATCAAAGTCCTATCAAAAATTACCATATAATTATCACACAAATACCTTAGAAATCGTTAAAACCTGTTTAGATGAATCAAAAATATTCACAATTCGACCAATTGAAATTACACAAAATTACTTAAAGAATCAAAAACTTAACGTTATATTACACATTTCAACAAAACCATCCGAAAATGATCTCGAAACTATTTACAACGATTTCTTAAAGAATTTGGAAAGTTTGAAACGCGATGAAATCGTTTCATACGAATTATCCAGTAGTAAATTTTGTTTAACAGAAACAGTTTTTTTAAAAGGAACTGAAATAGTTTGGCCAACGAAAGAAATCGGAACCACAACAACCCCTTTAGATATCATTTTAAAACCAAACGGCGAACCTTTAACGAGAACTTGCCATGGGGATTTCCAATACGGTGGAAAATGGGATGAAGTCGATTACAAGGATATAAACATAGATGAAGATCAAGAAATACCCGATTCAACAACAACTTTACACGAATTATTCTCATCGAATAAAACATCTAACGAAAAAAATGAAGTTTTATATGATATCTTATCAACGGAATCAGATTTCACTTCATATGATGTTCATTTGGTCGCTGAAATTTTCCATCAAATTGTTACACCGAATGACGATTTCGATTTGGAGCGATTAGTTGCTAATTTAAATATGGTTACGAAAATGAATCGAAACACTTTGGCTGAATCTCAATTAAAATTAAACTCAACAGATTCGCTGTTATACAATTTTGATGTTGCGCTAAAAGGTGGTTATTCAGCCCTAATTATTAAAGAAAACATCATTTTACAAATAGTCGATTTGAAAAAAAGTGGAATCATCGGATTAGGTCTGTATAAAGAAAACAATAAATTTAAACCAGTCAGTTTACATAAAAACATTACAATCGACACAATTCCAAGAAGAAATTTAATTTTTGCAACTTTCATCCCACCGGAACTCTTAAACGAAATCATAAAATCATCAGCGGGAGATCAAAGAAATTTAGTAACCACAATTTATTTAAACGATGCCCTTTTTAATGACCCTGATACAAATAAAAAAGTGGGTTACGTTTTAAGCATCTTTATAGTTGGTTTTAACTCGATCTCTTTGGATTACGAAATCCCGATTATTTTCGAAAATAGTTACGACGTAAATATTGAAAAGAATAAAGCTACGATAAACTGCGCATTTTGGAATTACGGAATTGATCAGGAAACTTGGGCGGGGTTTTTCGGATATTGGAAAATCGATGAAACCGTAAATTTCGATACAACAACAAAAACATGCCAATTTTCACACATGACACATTTCGCTTTATTAGTCGGAGCTGAAGATGACATCGTTACGAATTATTTAGCGTCAATCGGGGCCGCTTTAACATTAATAAGTGTGTTGTTGATTTTTTTAACCGCAATATTTTCGAAAACCTGGCGAGATGCAGCTGGAACAAAAATTTTATTAAATTTTTCAGCTGCAATCGCTTTACAAATGATTATTTTAGTCGGATTAAGCATATTAAAGGAACAACCATATTTAATTTGTACAATTTTAGGAATTTCACTACATTACGTGGTTATTTCGCAATTTTGTTGGGCCTTAATAATAAGTTATTTACAATATCGTAAGTTTGTTCGAGTTTTAGTAAACGAGCCGAATTCAATCGTTATAAAATGTTCGGTATTCGCTTGGGGAACAGCAATAATCCCCGTTTTAATTTCAGCTTACCTCAATATTGACAATTACACTTACGAAAATCTTTGTTATCCATCCGGTTATTATTTGTATTTCGGTTTATATCTCCCCATTATTATAATTGTATCCATCAACGTTTCAATGTTCGTAATCATTTTTCAAAATGTTTTAAATAAAAAATCGAATGCGTTCGGAACCGAAACGAATATAATTTTGTTACGAATCAAATTAGGCGTGATTTTATTCTTTTTAATGGGATTTTCGTGGATTTTCGGCTTGATCGGTTCGTTTTTAAATTCAAATATTTTGTTATATGTATTCTGTTTCACAACAGGCATTCAAGGAGTGGTTTTATATGTTTATTTTGTCGTTTGGAACAAAGGTGCACGAAGAATGTGGACGAAACATTTCTCTAAAAACAGCGGAAATGCGTCAGAAAGCGAAAATGATCAGAAAACTTGTTCCACTTCGCATTCCGATTTCAACAAGAGACATTAACATATTTCATTAAAAATTTGGATTTAATACGTTGTGTTGTGTTTTGTAAGAATTAAATAATAAATATTCTTACCTGTAAATGTAGTAGATTTAATGTTGAAACCGCTATGCATTCTTTATCTCTATTTATTGGGAATCCTACCGAACCTGTTGTATTGGAATTCTCGCAAACGACCTCTAATAATTGATCTAATAACCTAAATAATAAAAAAAAGATATATTAAATGAATACAAACAGTAAAAGTAGAATTAAAAACTTTCAGATTTAGCTGTACGTCTCTTAAGACGGCTTAAGTTTAAATAAAACATTGTATTTTTACCTAAATGTATTTTCTGTGAGATCCATAACAAATGGAATGTGAACTTGCGGAATGGAACGAGCAACATTGGACCACGCAAAACTTTGAACAGGACCGCAACAAATCCCAATTACTTTCTGCCCCTTTAACGACCCAATCAACCTCGGTTGTTGCACATACAACTCTTGACTGTCGCAAACTTGTTTGTGCTCGTTTTTACCCCAACCGAAAATTTCCCCTTCATCCGATAGAGCCAAAACGTGACCAAAACCCAAACTTATCGACACTATCTTTTTATCTAAAAACAATTTCTTTTAATATAAAATTTTGCAATACAAAACAATAAATACCTTCTAAACTTTCAACTAATTCGGGATACCTAACATGATCATCAGTGAAATGTCCCAATCTCCACCCTTCGCCTTTACCCCACGTAAAAACCTTCCCCTCACTTGATAACGCGACGCTAAATTGCCCCCCGCAATAAACTTCGGTGATATTAAAATTTTGAAGCCTCTCAACTAATCGTGGAATTTTCGACCCATCCGAACCGCCTCTCCCCAACTTTCCATAATCGCCATCACCCCAACTATAAACATTCCCCTGACTTGTAATACACACGGTATGCGCATCTCCAGAACCACAAGCAACTTTCACCACTCGGTGTTCTTGAAGCGCAGCCACTGCTGTTGGTAAAAAGCAATCTTCCGATGTTCCGTGTCCTAAACGTCCAAAATTTCCTCTTCCCCACGTGTATAAAATCCCGGATGTTGAAATAGCAGCGCTGTATGTACCTCCACATTGAACATCAATGATATCTTTTCCGCGTAATGCTTCAATTACGGTCGGCTCATCTTTCGAGGCGTTATCTCCGTGACCTAAACGGCCGCCATCACCATTTCCCCAGGAATAAACCGCAGAATCTTTTGTTAAAGCCATAAAGTGTTTCCCTTCGGTGTGTGCAGCTATTTTAATCACTTCTTTATCTTGAAGGGTTTCGATCAACTGAGGACATGGTGGCGATTCGGATGAGAAATAAACGAAATAAACTTTTCCGTCATGTGTTAGCGCTAAGAGGATCGTTTCGGAACAACAAAGCTGTTTTATATTTAAATCGGAGATTGTGTCGAACGCTTGGGGAATTATTGACGGTTTCCAGGTTAACCAACCCCAACCCCATACTTTTCGAGAATTACATTCGTTCATCTATAAAATAATTACATAAAATAAATGTTTTAAATTAATTTTTTTTTTCAATTTTAAATTAAAAAAATATGTGGTTGAAGTTAGATTCAGATTCGAATATGAAGCGGATTCAGATTCGTTTTTTTTTACAATCAACCAGACAAATACTTATAATGAGTATTAAATAATTATTTTTCTTGACATTTAGAGGGTGTAGCACCCTGGAACTATATAAGAAAATTCATTTTACCTTTCTAGTACCCATATACGAAAGGACATACAAAAATTTAGAGGTGGGGGTGGAAGGTGAAAAGTAGATAAAATTTTTTTCTCAAAATCTAGTTTTGTGTAGCACCTTGAGACTATACATTGTATCAACACAGTGTAATCATACAGTGTAAATCATTATAAACGGTTTATGGAAAAATCCCTGAAACGGGTCTAAACATATTAAATTTTTTGCAATTTTTTGGTGTAGATTTTAAATTTTTCCCGCCATTTTTAAACGAGTTATGACGTCATCGATATTTTTTTCAAACGGCAATCCCCCATTTTTATAATGGAATATGAAAGAAGATGTTTTTCTGAATCTAGTACAGTCAATATTAATATTGGTTACATTAGAAAATTTTCGAGAAAAATTACTTTAAAGTTTAACTATTTCAAATTTGTTGAAATAATAAAAATAGCAGTAGCCATGAGTAACTATGGTAACCAATTATTTTAAATAATTTTCTAAGTGTCAAACAATGTTTTAGTAAGTAGTTGACCTCCTTAATGCAACATTTCTTGATCGAAAACTGCTTAGCTCATTAGTAAGGTAAGCCTAGCTGTGACTAAATTTTACCCGTCTGCTATCATTTTGTTCGTTTTTTGAGTGTGTAAGATTGTAGATTCGATTTTATGTTTTTTGGATTGTTTTAATATGTTTTCATATCGTCGTGCCTATCATTGTTTCGTCTCTTTTTAGCTTGTGTTGATATGCTCAATAATAATAATTTTTACGTGGTGTAATTGGCATTGATCTCTTTTAATACTTTGACTGTAAGTTTTATTGTTTTATTTATTTTTGTAAAGAAAAGATTTTAAAATGTAATTTAGTAAGAATATGTATTTACAGTTTTATGTTGTTTTTATAGATTCAAACTGATGATGGCCTGATTATGGCTGGAAAGCGGTTTTTTGAGTAAATTAAATTAAAATTATTTAGCGAGAAAGAAGTTTTTATTACTTTTATCTATTTCTTAAATTTAAATAGCATGGATATCTACGAGATTTCTCGAAGTCTATCCGACCAAATGTTTCAGGGGAGGTTCAACAAAAGGTGGTTTTGGCTGGGCAAGAAAACCCTTATGTTACTTTTTGAGGAAACCTTAACTAGAGGGAGATGTTTAGATTTTTTCAAAACGATATCATAATATTGTCCCACCTGAATTCCAATAGTAGTTATTCCAACAAGATGGTGCGCCACCACACTTCAACAAGCTTTACTAAATCAGTTTTTGACACTTAGGACATTGTTTAAAATAATTGATTACCTTAGTTACTCATGGCTACTGCTATTTTTATAATGTCATGCAAATTTGAGGAAGTTAATCATTAAAGGAATTTTTCTCGAAAATTTTCTTATGGAACCAATATCAATATTGGCTGTACTAAATTCAGAAAAACAACTTCTTTAATATTCCGTAATAAAAATGGGGGAAAAATTTAAATCTTTAGACCCGTTTCAGGGATTTTTCAATAAACCCTTTATAATGATTTTATCGCCTATATCCGTTACTTTACTGACACACTGTATAAGAAAATTCATTGAACCCTTCTAGTAATTGGAATGACACGGACTGTTATGAGAAGAACATCTTACAATGTATTCCATTTGCAGAATTTTTACTTAAAAACTACATGGGTTTTGTACCTCTTTGGACTTCGATTTTAAATTACGCTCCTGGGTTGTGTCATCGAATGCTAATGTAGAATATTGGTTTAAAACTGTGAAAAAGAACGTTTTGACCAACGATACATATTGAAAAATTGGGCGGTTTGTTCGAACTTTGAAAAAAATTATTCAAAATAATATCAAAAAAGCACAGTCGTAAGAAATCTGACAAAAATTGAAAAAGGCATCATTTTTGAATATGTCTCCTATTACCTTGGTATCTGCCAGAATTTAAGTTTTCATCATAGCTTTTTCTATTGCTGTGGTAAATACTAAAACATGAAAAAAAGGGAAATTTCAGTGCAGATTTTGTTCAAACATACGAGATGCCCAATATAGTGTGTAAAACTTGTTGCAATCGTCTAATGGATTGCAAAAAAGAATCTATCTATGAAATATGAATCAGATGACTGGAGATTGTTTAGTGACAGTTCAAAACTCAGCTTGAAAGCGGTTTTTCTGCATAAGACCAATGAAAAACCTTCGGTTCCAACCGCCTATAGTACAGAAACGAAAGAAACATATGATGCACTAGAAAATATTTTAAAGATTATATATTAATTATATATTTTAAAAGTTGTAGCAATGCTTTGCGGTCTTCGCTGTATAAAATATATGTGCGTTTTGTGCGATTGAATGACGATTGAAAATTCCAATTTTTCCAAATATATTACTCATGATTTTGTATCGTAATAAATTCATTTTTTTTCCATCAGGCGTACTAAATAGTCCAGATATACAAAAGCTAATTAAAAGTGACGCATTCAACAATATTTTGATTGACGCTGAAATGGATGCTTGGAAGGCAGTCAAAGAAGTAATAGAAGGTTTGTTGAAAAAGCAACTACGAAGATTCTGTCGCAAGGATGTTAAGGATCATTCTCGAAAATTGGCGTCCACATGTCCTTGAAAATTTATTATTTACATCATCATTTGGACTACTTTAGCAGCCACCGAATCTGATAAACAAGGCGAATGCTATCATCAAGTTGCTATGCCATTTGAAATGAGGTAGGTCCGAAGACATGGACATGGATTTCAGTGAAGAATTTTCAGAATGTTCAGTAGGACCAGCAGTGGAGCCACAAATTGACATTATGTACACATTTATATGTATTCCCTAATAGAATTAGAATTCTTAAAGCCCTGTCAGCTAAAATAAAATATTGGCTCTGCACTTTTGTCCAAAACGTAGCTAGTTCACAATTTTGGAATTCCACCTTTGAGACCGTACCGTCTTCACGTAGTTCAAGAAACCTTTGAAGATTTCTTCACCTGTAGAAAACAGTCTCAATATCCAGAATGAAGCTTATGTAGTGAAGCTTAGGTTCTCTATGTCCAGGAAATATTGGTTCAACGAATTTATCAAAGAAATTGTGATGAACTATGGAATCGGTGAAACATCGATCAAGTGCGTGAACATCGATAAAGTGTTAATTTCACTGAAGAGGAAACTTGATGGAAAAGCATTAGTGCTGCCAAGTGATGTGAGGTGGAATAATATGGCAGATTGTTTGGAAGTATATGAGTAGATAATAAATGCCGGTTCTGGACCAGAAGTGCTCCCCCGCTCCCCCTGATCTTGCGCATGCGCGCCGGAAGTGACGTCACGACATCCTTAAGGATCTGGTCCAGAACCGGCATTTATTATCTACTTATATGTAAACCAATAGGAGACACTATTAAAGGTGTGTGACGAGAATAAAAAGGAAATAGACTCGACATTATACAGGTGCAGCAAAACTCCCTCCCTAATTTGAAAGTTGAATAAAAAACAGATGGTACAAATTAACGAAACTGTATTAACATTAATTGAATCTGCAGAATGGGAAGTTACGTTATTATGTTTTACAAGTTTCTCTTATTAACCAGTATATCGCTCAAGTGTTTTCCATCGTTATCAATGCATTGCCGAATACGAGTTCGGAAGTTCGCCATTACTGTAATCAACATTTCTTGAGGAATACGAGCAATCTCTTCTTGAATCGTTTGTCGTAGGGCTGGCAGAGTCCTCGGACGATGTTTGTAAACTTCAGCCTTAAGAAACGCCCATACAAAAAAATCACAGAGAGTAAGGTCTGGAGATCGTACTGGCCAGCGGATATCTCAGCACAAGGACATCAAGCATTCTGGGAACAGCTGCCTCAGTTCTTGAAGAGATCTCCTGCTTGAGCGAGCAGTGGCCCCGTCCTACTGAAGCTACGCATCCTGTTGAATCTGTACCGCATTGAATCGTGGTGGTCACTGTCACTCCTCCTCTTCAAAAAAGTACGGGCCGATGATCCCGACACTGTTAATCACTCACCACACGGTAACAAGTCTACTATGTAGAGGCTTTTCATGGAGTTCCCGAGGGTTTTGTGTACTCCCATAACGGTAACTTCCGAACTCGCATTCGGCAACGCATTCATAACGAAGCAAAACATTTGACCGATATACCGTTCAAAAAAAAAAGAAACTTGTAAAACATAATAACGTAACTTCCCATTCTGTAGATTCCATTCGTGTTAATACAGTTTCGTTAATTTGTGCCATCAGCTTTTTGTTTAACCTCCAAATTAGGGAGGGAGTTTTGCCGCACCCTGTACAAAAAAGTTTCAAACATTGGTCTCAAACGCTCAGCGGAAGATTATTTGAATATCTTAAAACCTATAACTGTAGCACTTGACAACTTACAAAAAATAATGCTTTCCTCTCTGACGCAGTGGAAGTTTGGAAAGATTAAATACATTACTCGAAGAAAAATTATTATCAGTACAAATGAAAGTTTTTGATAAACAGTATAAGCAGGCACCTACGTCTAACCATTACAGAGTCTATATTTTAGATGTTCCTAGAACTATGTATAAGTTAACATCCGTTGAAAAAGAGGAAGCTTTAAATACAACAAAGGAAATGTACACCAACATCGGTTTACTACCGCTAACTATAAAACTACAAGCAAAAATAGAACCATTTTCATCAGTAATATTTTCAGAGGAAGTCTTAAGTGCTTTACAATGGTGGGTGTCACAAAAACGCATTGCTGAAGTAGAGAATGTACTGCCAATATTAAAGCAATTTTTATGTGGAGTTTGTTCATCAGCTTCTGTTGAGAGAATATTTTCAACATTTAGACTTATTCACTCTACTTTACAAAACAAGTTAGGTGTTGAAAAGGCAGGAAAAAGGCAGGCCATGGAATTGTCACAGTTTTTGGTGCATGTTTGTATTATTGTTGTTATTAGTTACATCTGATGATAGATGTAAGTCATTGAACATCATGGCAAATTATTCCAGCGCCGATATTTCAAATTTATTTTGTATTGATGGCAAATGTAATTAACTTTTGGACAGGACGTGTCGAACACTTAATGAGAGATGCCTAACAAACCTAACGCCCATCACAAAGTAAAATTCCAAAAAAATGGATAAAGATTTTCTTAGTTGTAGACATATCGAGACTAAAAGAAACCGTATTTCCGGTTTTATCGTATTTTATTGCATTTCCAAATTAAATATAATAAAAAATTTATATTTTTTATCCAAATCTATTTTTTTTATTAATTTTTTGTTTTCATTGTTTCATTTATTTGATCTTATGTTTGTTATTATTGGCAAGTGAAAGCTAGTAAACTAAAAGATTATCAATCATAGTTAATAGTACAAATAATAGAAATAAATTGAACGAAAAACTGTTAAAATATCATGGCCTTCTAATAAAAATACAAACGGTTTCCGACATTTCCTGCATGTTTTGATAAATTTTCCAATATGAGAGAAACTATAATAAATAGGTATAGGAATGTTTATAGATAATTTGTAGAGATTTAAATTCCCTTTCGGGTAGGTTAACAAAATATGGGGCGTTCCATTTAAAATTTTCGACTTTCTCGCCATTGAATATGGAGAAACACTAATTCAATTTTTGACCTTCCTGTATAAGATACTCTGATACAACAAATGACAATCTATTTGACAGCATCTGAAGAGTAATCGTGCCAATTTAGAGCTTTTTTGAATGAACGTTAGATGGGATATGGGGTTTTAAAGAGCATGGTGAAATTTGCCAAAAAAAGCTTAAAATCAATATAACTCGAAAACGAAAAACGCTAGGTACCAATAACTTTTATGGAAGTCAACCTATTTTTTTACGTACAATTAAAAGGTGTAATAAAAACTATAGCATTCCATTTAAAATAACGAAGTTATGGTCTACTTCCGGTAGACCGGAAGTGGCAGCCATCGTGAAAATATTTTAAATTGAAAGTTCCGAATGAACAACCCATGCTACCAAAATTTCAAAACTGCACGAATAGTGGAAAATAAAAAAGTTCTAACGAACCAGTTACGTGAGACACCTGTATATTATAATGAATGTTAATTTTTGTGTTAAATGTTTTGTTAATTTTGTAATAAAGTACAGTTTTATGTTCAGGTTTGTTACCCATCACATATTGACATTTTACCCTCCAAGGGGTAATTACCCACAGGTTAAGAACCACTGGTCTAGAGCAATTTTATGAACAGATAAACTTTGTTTTTCCTTAATTTTTGTTAATAATTTCCATAAAATCAATAGTTTTTTATAGTTACAATTCGTAGAACTTTTGAAGATTTCATTCAATACAATTAGTCGAACTATAAAAATTTTAAAAAATAGCAAAAAAGTAAGTAAGTAACAGAAAGTAACTAAGTATAAGTATAGTTTTAACTTACATCATCAGAATTATTTGAATTAAGAACTAAACTTAAAAATTTAGATTCTCAGGTTTGATTATTTCTTTTATACAGGTGTTTCTAAATTGATGTGGAACATTTTAAAGGCATATTGAGCTGTTCTGTACTCTCATTCATACATTAACCCTGCTGATATCCCTTCTATTTGCGGTCCAACTTTCTCTGCCATAGATATGCACAATCAAACGCAGAGTGTTTGATGAGTTGCCAAGGCAAGAGGTCTGGAAAGCACTACAGAAGAAAGGGACACCCCACAACTGATGCAAGCCATCAGGTTTATGTTCCAGCCATGGAGGGAGCGCACAGTGGTTCAGACTGCTATTTTAGCTGCACAGAAAGAGTTTTCTTATAAAGTTGTACTTTGTAATATCTCTATAAATTGACAGGAATCTGCCCGCTTGTTCTGGGTTGTTTGGCAATCGCAGGTAGAAAAGGGTCTACTGCAGCCTCTTAAATTGTTACATTTATCAGCCTTGTTTTTTCAAGCAGTGTTCTTGCAATAGCAGCTCTGTTTCTAAAATTTCATCTAAAGGTATGTAAAGTATCTTGCAGTAACTAAATGTATTTTTTTTAATATTATGAGTCATAATAATTCAATTCATTTTTCAGTTAAACTAAGCAAACTAACATCAAGGCGAGGAAAAAATATAAAAGGTCATAAAAAAAATTTGGACTGAGAACGCCAAACCCTTTGGAGATTTTACCATAATGGCTATTGCACTGTGTAATAGATAGATAGAAGATGATTATATACATTATTGAAAGCAGCTGTCATCTTTTTTCAAAAAAAATTAATATCTCAAAAATGAATCAACTTAGGTATAGGGTATGTAACATACAATTGGCCTAAAATTGAACAAAGATTGTAAAAATGTAATAAAATACAGGTGTTCCATTTGAAATATGAAAATTGTCACCACTTTAAGTTTTTGTATGTCATTTCGTATATGGGTACTAGAAGGGTTACATGAATTTGTTATATAGTTCTAGGCTCTACACTCTCTAAATGTTAAGAAAAATAATTATTTAATGCTCATTATAAGTATTTGTCTGGTTGGCTGTAAAAAACAAATCTGATTCTAACTTCAACCACATAAAAAAACTCCTTTTAACCTTATTAAAAGATTGTGATGGTAAATGTGGTGTTGCCAATCGATCCAAATGAGCTAATAAAAGCACAGCCGCTTGACGGACGTCAATTTCCTCCTCAACAACTTCCGCGACATCCAAATACTTCAATAGTAATTGATTACAATTTAACAATTCATTTTTTTCATCGCCCAACATAGAATCGATAGGTTTTTCAGGTGATATCTCTTCAAATCGTCGAAGAAACGAAAATATTGGAGCTGTTACTGACACCAAAACCGAACGATTATCATTGGAATAATTTTTTTTCTCCCACAACTGTAACAGCAAAAGTACACAATCTAAAACGCTGCTCAACGTTCCTTTTTGCAAAGCTAACTCTAAAAGGAGATTTAAAGAGACGTGTTGATCTTGAAGGGGAACTTCACAAAATTGGCGATTATTTGTTATCTCTCTAAAAATTAAATTTATATAACAAATAAAATTATTTTGAATAAAATTTTATTTTACCCTGTAACAACTTGTCTTAAAAACTTCACTGATCTATCAACAACTTCAAGCCAAACGGCCGAAACTTGACCCTCATCAAACAAGCTAGCAACCGGAAGTAATTGTAAAGCTTCAAGAGATTCTGATAAAAGCTCGCCGCATAAATCGACATCTTCACCCAACCTCCAAGCTCGTTTTAAAAATGCAAATGAAAAATTAAGAGCTGCTCTTGATCCAACCCTTGCAAGACTTGAAGCAGGATCTGCATTTACGATTATTTTGCGTTTTAAAGATGAAATTTTTGGGGTGGACGGTTGTTCGGCTGCGCTCGGGCGCTTACTTCCTGCCCCATTCAGTTTATTTTCGTTTGATGTCACTCGACTGAACGCCTCAAAATAACGTCGGAAGATTGTTAACCTTTGTTGAAGGCGAGTTAATGATAGGCAAGTTGAAGAAACGTCGAGAGAAAGACGCTTTTGTTCATGATTAAGGCTGATTATGAATGATTTTAATTGTTCATGAGCTAAAATTTAAAAAAATAAGAATCAAACCAATATAAAATGAATTAAAATTACTTGGCTGGGGTCCCCAAGTCCAAGAATCCAACAAAAACTGCGGTGTTGGTGGTACTTTTTTAGCATCTTGCTTCCCTAACGATTCCTCAGCATCTAATCCTTTACATGGTTGACAATTACATCCACTTTGTGGCCCACAAATTCCATCACAACATGTGCAAGTTAAAACCTATAAAAAATTGTTGGTAATTTCATTTAAATCATTCGCGTTTTTGAAACTTACCCGTAATCCGCAATAATATTTCCCCCGTTCACCTTTCCTAGAAATAACACCCGCACTATTCAATAATCCATCAGAAAAAGGCCCCGTCAATTCCCCATCCCTAACCAACCCATTCCATAACTCGCTTAGACCTTGTTGCGATCCAAACGCAGCGCGAAGATCAGTTTTAAGCCATTTCGGATCAAGTCGAGGTTGAGCCCTCAGTTTCGTCTCAATGTGAGACATTTTTTCTTTTATTATTTCCGGGCCCTTTTCACATCAATTCGAGAACGACGATCGACATACACCCGAACAGCGACATTTCGACGAAAGACAACCGGCACTCGATTAGTAAAACCGCACCTTTCACTTATCACGCGACGAACTCGTTGGTACGATTCAAAAAAACTCGAATAATTTCGGCATTTCTTTCGTACGTTTCGTTTCGTTGAGTTTTCTTTGACGTTTTCTTACTTTTTGACAGTTGTTGTTAATACTGTTGTTAGGACAAAGATGGCGCTATAAGTAGAATGAAATGGAGACAAGAAATAGAAAGATTTGATTGGTGGATTGAAATAGATATAAAATTGATTAATTAATTTGAATTAATTGGATTATTTTAAACAAATTCTTTTAAATGCGAATTGTGCGTGTTTTGATTAATGATTTATTTAGAGAATTGAATAATATAGAAAAGGAAAAAGTAATTAATTAATTTATGTTTAATTTTAAATTTATTACACAAAAATTAATAAAAAACGGATTTACTGAGTTATTGAAGAATAATTTAATGAAATATATGCTTATTGTGATATTTGTATGAAAATATTTTAAACAACGAATTAACGCCATCTATTAGCGATGTTGAGTAAACCGTAGGTAAACACCGCGAAATTTAAAGAAACGTCAAAATATTCTATTTATAACCTAGCTTAAAGTTCAAGTTGAACGGTGTTTATGTATTGAAAAATCAATTTTGTACGTTTCAGTTAGAAAAAAGTAATAAATAGTAAAAAAATCGGACCGAATTCGGGGTTGTGATCTCTTTGAGACCCCCCAATTCGAAAATATCAAAAATACCACGCAACCCTGTTAAACTTACGCGACGAACTCGTTGGTACGATTTAAAAAAACTTGACTAATTTCGGCATTTCTTTCCTACGTTTCGTTTCGTTGAGTTTTCTTTGACATTTTCTTACTTTTTGACAGTTGTTGTTAATACTGTAGTTAGCACAAAGATGGCGCTATAAGTAGAATGAAATTAGAAATTATGAAATGGAGACAAAACATAGAAAGATTTGATTGGTGGATTGAAATAGATATAAAATTGATTAATTAATTTGAATTAATTAGATTATTTTAAACAAACTCTTTTAAACACGATTTGTGCGTGTTTTGATTAATGATTTATTTAGAGAATTGAATAACATAGAAAAGGAAAAAGTAATTAATTAATTTATGTATAATTTTAAATTTATTACACAAAAATTAATAAAAAAACAGATTAACTTAGTTATTAAAGAATAATTTAATGAAATATATGCTTATTATTATATTTGTATGAAAATATTTTAAACTAAACAAATTAACGCCATCTATTAGAGATGTTTAATAAACAATAGGTCAACACCGCGAAATTTAAAGAAACGTCAAAATAGCTCTATTTATAACCTAAAAATGAACGCGTTTAAGTCTTTAGATTTATAACCTAAAAAATTTCAACACCGCATACTTTAGATATACTAGATAACAGATAAAAGCGTACATTTTTGCCGTTAAAACGTTTTAAATGCGTATTCAGTTGTATATTCGTTTTTGTATATTATCTTGTATCCCCTCCGTTTTGTATATAAAATCGATGTACGCTCGCGTAGTGTCTTCACAATAACCTCACCCGATTGGAGGAGCGTTTCGCTTAAAGTTCAAGTTGAACGGTGTTTATATATTGAAAAATCGATTTTGTACGTTTCAGTTATAAAAAAGTAATAAATAGTAAAAAAATCGGACCAAATTCGGGGTTATGTGATCTTTTTGAGGCCCTCCAATTCGTTAATATCAAAAATACCACGCAAACCTGTTAAACTCGGTAAAAAATCAGCATGTATGTGTCTTACACGGAGATAATCTTCGCGTTTTCAATCCTTTTGTTACCATTTTTGTATGAAACAAGTCAAGCTTTTCGTTATTATCTTAAATTTGTTACCTACGTCGTCGTCGTTTCATTTATCGCCCTCATCTTAACCCCGGTATTTATCTTCAGAATCAAAAATGTGAGAAATTTAGTGTAAGTATTTAATAAAATCAATTTTTATCTTATTAATTGTTTCTTGTGTTTATTTTTTTTATTTAGAATTGCTTCATATTTATGCAGACATGTCTCAACATTAATCGGTTTAAAATGGATATTGAGAGGTCGAAAACATTTGGAGAAAGATGCTTCATATATAATCGTGTCCAACCATCAAAGTGCTCTGGATGTTTTAGGAATGTTTGATTTATGGCCAGTTATGGATAAGTGTACGGTGGTTGCAAAAAAGGAAATTTTATATGCTTGGCCATTCGGTTTGGCCGCATGGTTGTGTGGTTTAATTTTTATTGATAGAATGAACTCGGAAAAAGCAAGAACAACAATGAAAGAAGCAGCCGAATGGATTAAAAGTAAAAACGTGAGTTAAAAATATTTTTTAATCTCATTTCGAAACGTTTTGAATTGCTTTTTATCTCTATTTGATTTAATGGATATGTTTTTATATTGAGTTTTGATGCTTTATCAGTTTAAATTACATAAAACACTCCAAAAATTGCTTAAAGTATTTTTTTAAATGTTTTTAACTATTTAATCTATTGTATAAATTGTTTATTTTTAATAACAAAAGCTAAAAGTTACTGAAGGATAAATAATTGTTGAGTCATCTTTTTTATTTGATAAATTGGTTTATTTTCTTAGAGATAAAAGAATTGTAAATAAAAGAAAATATTTATTCATTGTGGAGTTGGGATCAATTGTATTATAAAAATAACCAATTGAAGTATTTTTCTTTATCTGAAATGAGCCCCCAAAAACATGATAAGCTACAGATACAGATAAAAGGACATTGAATTGTTTAATTATTTATTTTAAAAAGCTTCTATTCAAACCACTTGACTTATTTTTACGTAACATTTCTAGGATTATCATTTTATCTTTCCATATTTGTTCATTGATTTTTGATAAGATTTTAAAGATAGATGATTTTAAACTAAATTGGGATCTTACATTTCTATCATTATAGATTTTACACCATAAATTTAGTGGAAGCAATGTCTTGACCACTTTTGGGTTCATACAATATTTGTTGTAGGTTGGTCTCAGTTGTTAGTGATTCCATGTATTATTATTATTATTTGCTGCCAGGCTGAGGGGAGCGGTTCCTCTCGCCCCTCGACCTATAAGATCTATTGTAACATTAGCCCCCCAAAGGTTTAGGGCAAATGTAAGTCCTTAATGAACCTTAGTAATTGCTCCAAAGTCTTGTTCCTTTATGTCAGTAGGTGTCAAAAGAGCTTCACCAAAAATTTTGTGCGTTAGGCAGCCTCTGGTAAAGTAATTACACAGTATATGTTCAGCCGTTTCTGACTCGTCATTGCAAAGTCGACAAGTTTAAACCTCAGCAGATTTAAGAAGCGCATGGTTGATCAGGAAACCTGAGAGCGCCCTTAAATCCCCTTTGCTGAGGCATAAAACCTTTTTGATTTTGTTTTGCGACGGAGTTATCACACTCTTCGCTTGTCTGTGACCTGGAAGTTCTTTCCAGCGTAAGGCTACCTTTGAGGCCTCCCAACTGTTGATTACTTGTTTTAGTTGGCTTTTTTGTAGTCCACAACCGGGTTGGGGTCCAATGAAGGGCGTTTTCGCTGCCTCTTTGGCCATCTTGTCCGCCTTCTCATTGCCATCAATGTCTCTGTGACCTGGAACCCACCATAGGGTAACATCATTGCGCCAGCGAGTTCTCTCAGATTGCTGGTACACTCTCTGATTGAAGATTGAAGACGCGTAGGCCTGAATTGCCTTTAGGGCGGCCCGACTGTTTGTGAAAATGTTTATGCCGTGTAGCAGGCAAGGGCTTCCCTTTTTATTTGAGACCCACCCTTCTTCCAATCATCTCTGCTTCTAAACATGTTCTTATACGGCTGGTTGAAATTGTATTCTGTCGGCATAAGGTCCGTTTTAATTTCAATCAAGTGATTTAGACATGTGTCCTTGAGGATTTCGGGGTGTCCACTGAGGTTACCCTGCATCAGCTTGAGTTAAAAGCATGTTTTCAGTGGTAAGGCACTTAAAGCTGCCTCCTTTTGTATATACAGGATGTTCCTGTAAGTCGTGGCATAATTTTATTCACAAATTAGTATTTGTGATTAAAATTATGATGATTCGTGTAAAAATGTTTGGTCTAAATCCATACATATCTTTGGTAATCCATGTTGCGAGTCATAAAAGTAAATAAAATTTAGGTACATATTTAAATAAAATAACTTCTTTCTCGCTATAAAATTAATATAATTAGTACCGGTTTCGGCTAAAATGTCATCATCAGCTGAATCTACAATGATAATTAAATGACAAGAAAATATCTTAAAATAAATGATAATATAACTTACTGTCAAAGATAAAACAAGAACTTAAACATAAGTTAAAAGACTTAATGTAAAACTAAAATGAAAATCTTTAAAGATACAGGCTGTCCGGAAATGACGTGTACAACGCAAGACCACAAGTACCTTGACCAAAAATATGATGATTTAACTAAACTTATCTATATACAAAATCGCTTAGTTTAGTCGCTAGAGGGCTTTGAAAATTCATGATGAATCAAAGATAAAAGGCAAAACGAAAAATGCGAATACTGCTGTCAAGTTTAAGTGACAAACTGTTTTTGGTTTTAAAATTAATTATACCTACTTAGCCAACTATTAAAAAAAAATGTTTTTAGTTACCTTGCATCACTCATTCGCGCTTGTGGAGATTTACAAAATATTTTTTTGTGGCTAAACCGTTCACCCAACTGAAATTTTGTAAGAGAGATAATAGTTTCTAAATTAAAGTAACTATTCAGAAAAATAAAATGGTAGTGTTTGTATGTACAGGGAGTTAAAAAGATATGGATGCATAATTTATTGTTAAGTTTTTAAATACCCCCTATAATTTTCGAAATTAGAGTTTATTCCACAAATAGCTGTAATCTACTGATACAAATGCATGACCAAAAAATAAAAAAAATCCATCGAGGATTTTTTCGACTTATTTAAAAAAAAAATTAAAAAACATATTATTTTTAAAGCCCTCTAGCGGCTAAACTAAGCAATTTTGTATATAGATAAGTTGAGTTAAATCATTATATTTTTGGTGAAGGTACTTGTAGTCTTGGTGAAGGTACAGGATGTCGTCATTTCCGGACATCCTGTAAATGTAAAATATACAACATTTTTGGACTTACATGATACATCATACTTACATCATTGTAGATTCAGCTGATGATGGCATTTTAGCCGAAACCGGTACTGATTATATTAATTTTACAGCGAGAATTTTTTTATTTCAATACCTAAATTTTACTTAAACCCATAAATGGCTAAGATATGGGCTCTTAAAGTTAAGAAATTTTTAATCATTTTCTTAAATATTTTCAATATGGTTTGTCTGAGAAAGATAAAATTTGGTGAAGAGTACAATTTTATCATGAAAATTCGTTTAAGATCACTTTTGAAAATATGCAACCACGGGATCAATGTTATACAGGCTGTTCACAAAGGTTATTTCGTTAAAACTTTTTTAATATGTCATAAACCCTTAAATTTTAGAACTGCTTCTAAAAGCCTATTTCATTTTAAAATTATTTTTACTCTTAAATATTTTTGTTTCGACGCATCGTTTTCGAGTTATTCGCAAAAAGATACAACCTCAATTATTAAATATTTTCTTTAATGAAAACAAATTGTAACTGGAGCAGTAAAGCAACTGTCAAATCATTACTCAACACTCACCAGTCGGTAATAGTTGTTTAAAATGACAAATAATTACAGTTTTAGTGAGCAAACTGCCATGCTTTTAACGTTGGGAGAGTGTTTAGGCAATGCTAACGCAATGGTGAGATGATATTGTAAATAACTGGTGATATTGTTGATATCAACAGTTGGGACATTTGGATTGTCCAAAAGTACGGCTTGGCGTATGCCACACGAACAGCAATTGTGTCCATACCACTTGTCAACAGTACAAGAATTAAAAATTGTTATTTTGCTTTACTATGATGGAAAAAAGTACTATTGATGCGACGTGTTTAGAAAATATAATTTTTATTAATGACCATTAGTAAAGCAATATGTCAATTGCTTTACTTACGATTCATTTTCATGGACGTCTTCGATTTATGACAGTATTTCATGGACGAGGTTGTATCTTTTTGTGAATAACTCTAAAACGATGCGTCTAATCAAAAATTTCTAAGAGTGAAAATAATTTTTGAATGAAATAGGCTTTTAGAATCAGTTGGAAATTTTAAGGGTTTACGACATAATAAAAAAGTTTTAAGGAAATAACCTTTGTGGACACCTGCATAGCATTGATCCCGTGCTTGCATACTTTCAAAAGTGATCTTAAACAATAAATAAAATTTTTTCTTTCTAAGACAAACCATATTGAAAATATTTCAAAAATGTTTTAGCTTTGAAGGTCCATTTCTTAAGCTTTATGGGTTTAGACCAAAAAATGTTACACGAATCGCCATCATTTTAACTCTAGTATTTGTGATTAAAGTTATGCCACGGCTTGCAGAAACAGCCTGTATAAATGAAGTGGGGTGAGACATGCTAACCGCTGGGTTTGTTCCAGCTGTTGTTGTGCCGTCTTATTTTTGGCCACCAAACCAGTGAGGCACAGGCGACCATGGGTCTGATTATTCCTACGTAGACTCAATGAGCCATTCGTGGTTTAAGACCCCAGCTCCTTCCGAGGAGCCTGCGGCAGATCTAGTTAGCCACAATGGCCTTTTTGGGAGTTCCAGATTAATTTGCTGTCTAATATTACCCCCTAGGTATTTAACTTCTGTTTTGTGGTTAATAATTCTGCTTTCAATGGAGGGTGCTCTCAATTGTAGCTTCCTTCTCCGAGTGAAAGGAACTATTTCGATTTTGTTTGGATTGATGCTGAGCGGATTGCTTCTGCACCAAGTGCTGGTGAGTAGTAGGGCTTTCTGCATTAGTTGAGTTATGATTGTGTCAGATTTACCTCGGATTGTGATTATCAGGTCATCAGCATACCCCTAAATCATGAATCCATTTTTTGTTAAGGTGTTCATCAAGTCATCAACTACTAGGCACCATAGGAGACGTGAAAGCACTCCCCCTTGGGGACATTCTCTTAGCGCCTTAATAGTTAACGACTCGCCTCCCAGACTGGCTGTGATCTGCCGACTTTTCAACATGGCTATACACCATTTGATTGTCGACGGATGTATATTTTTTACGTTTAGAGCATTCTCTATGGATTCGTAGGAGGTGTTATCAAAAGCACCCTCTATGTCTATGAAAGCACATATGGTTATCTCTTTGGTTGCAATTGTCTTCTCTAAAGTGCTAGTCAAAGCATGGAGAGCAGTAATTGTTAATTTTGCTTTCTGGTAAGCATGTT